GCGATTGGGCCGGCAGGGGGGGGAAGTTGGGGGTGACTGGGCCTGCAGGGGATGGAGGGCAGTTAGGGGTGACCAGGCCAGTAAGGGAGGGCAGTTGGGGCAACCAGGCTGGCAGGGGAGGGCAGTTAGGGATGACCAGCCTGGCAGGGGAGGGCAATTGGAGGCAACCAGGCCAGCTGGTTTAGGCCCAAGGGGTCCCAGATTGGAGAGGGTGCAGGCTGGGCTGAGGGACAAACCCCCATCCCCCAGTGCATGAATTTCATGCACCGGGCCTCTTGTATAAAATAATATTGAATATCAACTGTAATTGAAATAAATAAGTAAAATAAAAGTGTCCCTCATCACCAAATTAACTGAGAACAAAACAGAAATTCTCAGCACTTTCTATTTTGAAAAGAGAAGAGAGAAAGCGTTCTGATGCCTTTTCCAGCTGAACTCCCTCCCTGAAGCAGCGCAGAGCCCTGGCCAGTGGGGCCTCGCAGAAGCTGGGCCGCACCTCTCACGGCCCCACTTTACTCTCCTGGCCCTGCCGGAGGGTCTCGGAGATGGTGATGGACCTCCTCCCCAGCTGTGTCTCTTTCAGACCTTGATCGAGGGGACACCCCTGGCTCCGTGTCGTGACTTCTGTCTGGACATCATGTGTTACCTTAAACTAGCTTTTCTAATGCTGGCTACACATTAGACCACCAAGGGATTAAAACACATACAGATGCCTGGGCCCATCTGGGACCCCTGGTTAAAGCTATCCAGGGTTGGATATTTTTAAAGCTCCTCAGATGGTTCCAACAGAGGGTTCTCACTCCTAACACTATGACTGACCAACCCCCAAAGCATTCATCTTCATTCCTCTGGAATATAGACTCCTGGTTCCTAGTCCTCTTCATCCCAGACCCCATCAGCATCCCTACTCAACGACCTGGCTTCAGAGTCCTTTGACTAAATGTCTCCATTTTCTCTTCTCTTTTAGCAATTCTTACTCCTGGCCATTCCTTGGGTCTTGTCATTGGAATTGCCCTAACTCTGAAATGGTTCACTCTGACATTGCACTCTAGGATGATGTAGTAGGTTGAATGATGACCCTCCAAAAGATGTATCCGCTCAGAACCTATGAATGGGACCTTATTTGAAAAAAGTCTTTGCAGATGTAAAGTGAGGATCGTGAGATGAGACCATCCTGGGTTAGGTGAGCCCAAAGTCCGATGAGGAATATGCTTATAAGACAACAGAAGGGGGAGAAGAGACACACAGAGAAGAAGGCAATGTGAAGACAAAGGCAGACCATGGGATAATATAGCTACTCGCCAAGAAATGCCAAGGAAACGAATGGACTGCAACCTTATTTCTTTATGCATTTACCACAGTATCAAACTCATTATACCCAATCTTCAAATTCATCTATGATCTTCTTGATTTCACTTTCTTGCATACCTTCTCTGGACCCAGTGAACAATCATTTCAGTTTCTTCTTCCTCTTCTTCCTCCTCCTTCTCCTCCTCCTCCTCCTCATCATCATCATCAATTTCCTGTACCACTTGCTCTTCCAGCCCCTAATAAGGCATCCTCCCAGCCTTTCATCATCTCTGATTCTGTCTCTGGGTTGCCAAACAGCAGGAGAGAAAGCTGCTGACCCTGGCAACTGGATCCTTTCTATGGTTACTAATTCCATCTTCACTTGAGCCTCAACACTGCTCAGTAATTTGGTAAATTTGTTTTTACAGCCCCCTTGTTATTCTTCAGAGTAGGTGCTCCAAATCCTCACCATAAGCACCACCCTTAACACACAACCAGTCACCCACTGCACCGGGAGACATAAGCCGTCATACCTTCAGCTTTCCTCTCCTCTATCCTGAAACTATAGCCCACACCGATCCTGCACCCTCCGCTGGTCTCCGAGGGCAGCAGGCAGGAACGCTCTGTCCTCTGGCTCTCTCAGGTCCCTTCCTCTGCTGTCTGCCCCGCAAGCCCCGGGGACTCACGGAGTCACTGCACAACAGACAGGCAGATACAACTGATGTTTTGCTTCCAGGCCCAATGTTTATAATGAACGGTGTGAACTGAAAGTCTTCATAGTAGTTATTAACACCGAGAAGGCCACTTCTTAATCGGCTATCGTTACTAGCTAACAGTCACATACACTTGAATAGAATCTTCTGGCCAGCTATTCTTATACACCTGGCTATGCTGCATTATGGCCCTGGAACACACTGTAATTATATGCTGGCCTTTAAGATGAGAGTAGGCAGAACTACCTGAATGTGAGAGTACATTTAAACTTAATGACTTTCCAACTCCATGTGGGTTATTGATATAAAGGCAATCCCCCAAACACAAATAGGTCAACTTGACAAGCCATGAAACAGATTTCCCTTGAAAACACTGAAGAATTCCCGAGGGGAGGTGGGGACACAGCATTTCCCCAGCTTATGTGACTAATGGGCGATGGACTTCACCACGAGCACTGTTGCCCTTGGGAAATTCCGCCCCGTCCCAGGGGTCTTCAGAGCATCCCACCACCCCCTGGTTTTGAACTGAAGCGAAGCTCCGTGTCTCTAGTTCCTAATGGCCTGTCAGCTGCAGTGTCTCCTTCCCTCACAAACACGAAGGGAACACAGACACCAGACTGCAAACAGCACCGCACGGCGTCGTGCCATGGGCCAACCGGCTCCTGTGGGCTTCAAATGTCCCCTCTCCCCCGGAGGCACCCTCACATGGTGTGTCTGCGCGGCTCAGGCACAGGGCGCCGAGCCTGGGGTGGGGGCGGGGGGGAGCGCGCAGAGCCTGGGCGTGCATCTCCCTGCTCATGCACATGTGGGCCAGGAAGTACACTTTTCCTTAAGGCTCATTTTTCCTCTTCATGTCGTTGTTTAAATTTCGCTTACTTGCTTCCAGCTGCTAGCACACAGCTGAATTTTTCTCTCGCGCTGTAACCGTCTTAAGCTTCCACCGCCTTTATTTTCTATGTAGTTTTGCAAAAATTACTGTGATGGTCTGACACTCATCCTTTGGGCTAACCTCCTACCTGTTATTTTAACCTGCTCAGCAACAATTTCTCTACGTTTGATATGAGCCCCTGATTTTTATTTGAGGAACCACCGCTCCTGCTTTGGATAAAATCTTGATGGGCCAAGGGTGGGTGCATGATGAAGTTGGCCAATCGGCGCCAATTGTGTCATAAAGACTAACCATGGGCCATCAAGACTGAAATGTTCGGCCTGAACCTTCCCACCAGGTATAGGGGCCTGGAAAAGCCGCCGCATCAGCTTCTCTTAGCAAATCCCTGCAGCGGTCTTGGTTCTGGCCCTGGATCTTCCACTTTCGTCTGCATTCTATGAGTTATGACACCTCCTTCCAGAAAAGTATTTGCTACTTTAAGTTAGTCCCAGTTGTAGCTGTTGCTTGCAACCCAAGAACCTAACTTACCCGGCTTCCTCCCTGTGGGAGCTATGCTCACCCCATTGGGATGTAAACTCCACGAGGCCAGGGTGCGCCTTCCCTACATCTACGTCCCCAGGGTCTACCACAGTCCATGACACAAGTAAGGGCTCCATCAATATTGTTGGGATTACAATGAAACCAACAACCAGTCCAATCCAGTTATGTGCTGAAGCCCTCACTCCCTTTCCCAGTTCCCCACACTCGCAGGCCATTCTGGACCTGCCCACACGGGGGTTCCCACCGTTCGCCTTGCATATGATCTTCCTGGAGGAGCTCATTCCTTCCCAGGCCTCCCACCCCCGCCTGCGAGATGCCCACTCATGCGTCTGCAGCAGCAGCTCCCGCCTCCCCATGCCCTGCCCTGGGATGCCCAGCTGTCTGTGGACTGGATACCCTGCCTCGGC